AGTAGCTGGCACTTCATCCTCTACATTCAACTAGATACCTTTTAAAAAGCATCTGGGATGGGATCCAGTAAAGCTGTTGCAGGGTTTAAGCTGCATTACTTCTTTCCTTAGTATTTCCTCTCTCAGCAGCAGCAAAGTGGCTCAAAGTATTTTCCTGCAGAAGCAAAAGGCCCCCAGGCAGAGGCTTACACACATCTTCATTTATAAGCTGGTTATTCAACCTGATTTTCGTTAGCTATCTCTGAAGGACGCAGCAAATTCATTGCGGTTTGATGTCGGGAAGGTTGACAGGGAGGCTTTTAAAGGCAGGTTGATGAGGCGTTTCGGGGTTCAAGGATAACGCTCATTATCGTTTTTTTTCTTCTTGCTGGTACTTCTGATTGATTTCAGTTAAAGGCGAGACTTTGGTATACTGAGCACTTTGAATTATTCATTAAAAAGCAACGTGGAAACACATCTCGGTCCCTGTTTTTAAAAATCTTTCTTACCAAATGAATCTGTGTTTCTTTAAATGGTTTGGTGTACTGTAACACACACACACACACACACACACACACACACACACACACACACACACACACACACACACAAACAGCTGTTGTGAAATAATTCCAAGTTAGTTTACTTGGGCATATGTTTTAACAGTTGGTCAATTTTATCTGTGAATAGCTTCATCTCAGATTAGGCTTATGGTGATCACATGATTGAGATTTTGACCTGATAATGGCATTAGCAGAAAGATTAAGGGGTCATAAAACTACATTTCTTCTTAAGGGGACATGAATGTTTGTTGAGAGATTATTTCAGATGTCACCACAACACTTTCAAACATTGAGCCATGCAGCTTTTACGGCTTAAAACATGTGCTTTAAATTTATGCAACTATATGCTCTGAACTCATCCTGACCCAAACATGTAGGCTAATTGCTTCGTAACCAAGATACAACAGGTACAATTGTTTGTAAAGTAGTTGGAAAAATAAATTGAAATTCTAATTAACAGCAAAGTTGTGCTATAAAGTTTATTCTAAAGTCGTATTAACTCTATTTGCATTTGAACTGTGAGAGCCAAAACGTATGTTGACTTTGCTACAGTCAATCAAAGAGAAACTACATTAGGAAGGAGTATCAGTGAAATCTTTGTAGGTCACTGTGAGAAACACTCTAGCTGCTTGTAATTGACACAGATTTCGACAGCGCTAGGAAGCTGGATGGCTGGTTGAATGAGTCACTGTTTGGACTGGATATGCTATAAAACAGAAAACCAGTGCAACTCACACATAATTGAAGAGGCAGGCTTCTTGTCACTGTTGCTTAGCAACCGTGGGAGCTACAGAGCCAAATCCCCGTGGTGGCGAGCTGATGTTGAATTAGGTGGAGTGGGGGAAAGAAAGGAAATCTTTGGGAGAGATGTGTCTCTCGCAGGCGCAGGAGGAGGCGAAGATGTTCAGGTGTTCATTTATTATTTTTGGATGTGGTGAATCTTGACCTCCTATGTAACACAATCGTTCTATGTTTTGTATTTGCTTTTTTTGGCTGTTGAGGAAAGATTTGAAGAAACTGGAAAACAACACGTCCTACTGCATTGCTCATACACAAAGGCTGCTGGCTGCTGCTTTTCTGTTTTCAAGAGGAGAGGCATAATCTCATTTTCCTCTAATCCCCACAACAGTGAAAACATTTTAATTTTAAAAGGGAATGGGGACAAAAATAGGAGGAGAGTTTCCGAAATCGTTGCCAATGAGGCGTGTCAGATCACATGAAAATATGCAAGGAGTCTGGCAGCAATAATAGAAATTTCTCTGTAAACACACACAAGTGGGACACTCGGCATTGTAAAAACACTGCCAGTGAAACGTACACATCAGACAGCTGTAATGTATCTGCAGTTCTCTCAGGCAACTGCAGTGGTGCTGCTGCTGTACAAATGTCGTCTCCAGTGTGATTTGCATTTCAACTGCAGTGAGAATGAGAACACACTTTGATTTACCATAAGCACAGGAGACGAGCAGCCGAGACGGCATTGTTGCTGCTTTTCTCTTTGTATTTGCATGTATATTGCTTTCTTTTTTTTAATGTGTCCTATTTAGGGTCAGTGTTCGAGCAGATTCATGACAGGAGAGTGACACGCTGATGAGAGATATAAAGGAAACTGTGAGCTAGAGTAAGTCACCCCAGATTAGATCTTCTGCTGAGCTCATCCCTAGACAATAATCACATAATAACACGTTGACTGATACTAGTGTCTGTTTACAACTGCTTGATTCCATTGTTGTGGTCAGTGTCAGTCCAGGTCTGTTGCTGCAAAACTACCTTATTTAAAACATGATTATATTGACTTCCACTGTTTTTTTATGGGCAGGACTGATAGTTTGTTTCACTGAGAAAAAAACAACATGTTACTTGGTGACATAAGCTGTGCACCATTAACCATTTCAAAACCAGGAACAGGCAAAGAGAGACATTATGCTGTTTAGTTTCTTCCTCTTTGCAACAGATGATGTTGTGTAACCTGTCAAAGTGTCAGTGGAGATAAAGCAAAGACACTTTTTTATGCTTGCACATCATATATTGCTCTGCTGAGGTCAAAAGTGTAAAGGAGAAGTCGTCCCAGTGCAGCATCTTGCACGCACAGTGAAGGTTTGACAATTTGCCTTTGTTGCAGTATCAGAGAGAAGCCTGCTAGCAGGATACAAGTCAAAGTGTTTGGGAGCTGTTTGTAGGTGGATTGTTTATGGTGGATTGAATATTCCATCCATTCCTTTTACATTGTACTTTGATACATAATAACCTTCTTATCTCCTCCTGGATAAGGCAATTATTAAGCTCATTTATTGTTTTTTTGGTCATCAGAAATGTATAGTTGGTTGGCTGTTAGTTTCACTTTTACCCACAGCTATTGGAAATATAAGCCAGTAAAGCTTTAAATTCTCACAAGGGAATGGGTGTCTCCTGTGAAGCAACAAAAAGCAATTCAAAGACACATACTTTAATAAATAAAGTACTAACTTTTTTTTTTTTTTTTTTTTACCAAAGTGTTTGCTAAAAACTGATAAACCACAAGTAAGACACTTAACTGTAAAGTGGTACATAGATTTAAGCTCCTGGTTTGCAAATTGCTAAAATTATTAGTCAGGTAAAGTGACTGTCATTTATAGAGCACATTTAAAACAAGTGAGGCAGAATGGTTTCAGTATAGAAATAATACTGGCATTATGAACTTACTTAACAAGTTTAAATACTGGGGGATTATGTTGTGAATTTATCTGAGATGTTTTCTATTGCTGTTAAAACCCTAAATTAGCTGATGAAATGAAACATTAACACTCTACAGTATTATAATCATAAATATTAACATGATTAATCTAAAATGAAAGTTAAAATAGTACCAGCTATGCAACTCAAGAAATCCTATAGGATTCCCTATGAGCATGCATTTGTGACAGTGGAGAGGACCAACTCTCTTTAAACAGACAGACCAGACTTAGGAAGACTCATCTGCCTTGACCCGTTGGAGTGAAGGGTAAAGTGCAGAGAGGAAATGAGAACAGAGATTAACAGACAAACATCATAAACACTGGACTGACTGCTATGACAAGTAGACTGCAGATCAGACTTGTGCAGCACCAGAGTCAGAAAATACATGCAGAGAGGACAAAAGGGACAAAGTACAAACAATGGGGAAGAAAAGACACACAGTTTGTAACATGCAATAGAGAATATAAATGTATGGAGGAAATAACAAGGATAAACACATGTGAAGACAAGCATATGGACGGGATAGCCGAGGTAACGCATATTAAAAAAACAGGCAGAACTATAACAGCAAAAGAGTAGAGAAACAGAGTAAATGAACACTTTAATGATTTTTTTTAGTTGTTGTTCATCTTAATTTGTTGGTATTTGCTCCTGCTGAATAGTTGCTGCTCACAATGCACTACTGGAATGATTCTCTCAATATGTGGCCTCAGTGCAAAGTATCCAAGATGATATCCAAGGATCATTCTTGTTTTTATTTTTTTATTTTATTTCATACAAATATATTTCTTCACAAATGAGGCTGTCTATATATCAAATGTTTAAAAAAGTGAGAATAAAAATTAAATCATACAGCAATAATTATGGAAAAAGCAGCTTACAGCTTACTAGGAAAGTACAATTGTTCAGCTGTTCCATGGGCTTGCATTAAGAAACACTTTTCTCTAAAGCTGACAGACTTCTGATGTATTGTCCACATTTTGCTTCGTCAGTATAATCACATTCTATGTTTTTCATTGTTTGTATCAGTTAAAATTTGTTTTCATTATGATTTTGATTTTAGTACAATTTAAATGCAATCTAACCATACATTTCCAGTGTGTTATGGAATGTATCTAATAATCCAACATGCATAATTATAACGTTTGTGTTTTATGAATATATTGCAAAAAGACTTGCAGACACTGCAGTGATAATAGATAATGAATGTGAAACATATGCACGGTTTAATAGCCAGGTAGTACAAAGAAACACGTCAACATTGTGGCGTGTACTGTAAAATACTACTATATTGAAGCTTTCCGTGCATTAAAAAATATTTTTAATGTATTGTTTTACATGTTTGGAGATATTTTAAATCGCATCCGTTCGTTGGGTGGCGGAGGTTTTCATTTGCTGACACTGCAACAACTATTAATACATTAATAACAACATTTTATGCAAAAACACGATTCAATTGTGAAAAGCCAACTCCCAACCTGTGAACAACATCTACCGCAGAGGGGGGAGGCGTTCACGCCAACCAGCGTTTTGTGGGCCAATTTTGACAACATATCCGCGTTGTAAACATTATCACCCACAGCGATTAAAAAACAGCAATTTACCTTTCATACGTCGTGGGATAAAACAATTTCGTGAATTGTTTTACTCCCTGCCGCGGTGAAATGACAGTTGTTTTGTCCAGCGTCCCCCCTCCTGCTGCGGCTGCATGTGGTACGGTCCATAATGTGAGGCGGCACGGTCCCCCTCACTTCAGTTTATGGTAAGTCCGCGTCCACTCCTGCTCAACCGAAGGCGTCTATCGGCTCTGTTCCGCCGTGTGAACTGGGGGATGAGGGGGGATCCATGAAGCGCCGCGCTGCCGAGCACGGTTCTGTCACTGCTGGGAAATGAAAGTTGTTCATCCCTCGTCTACGTCTCTCATTAGCAGTAAACACGCAGCAGTCCGGTCCGCATGAGAGACGCTCCTCCGCTGAATTTCAGCCGTTTTTTTTGAATTTCTTCTCGGTTGAGAAGCAGCAGCAGCAGCAGCAGCAGCAGCGGGGACCAAAACCAACAAGCCGCGGCCGCTTGACAGGTGCCGTCGCCCGGCTCTGCGTGGAGAGATGCCGCCCGTCCAGAGAACAATGTCTGATCTTCGTAGCCGGTCGGAGGGTATGTGGAGATAATTTTAATAGGTTTTGTGTGTGAGAGACGCTTTAGAAAACCATGTCCACCATTCTACGGATATTTCATTGTTACTGCAAGAAGGCCGGCCGGCAGCAGTAACTTGCTAGCTCGAGCTGTGATTAACGGTACACAAACAGGCGTCCAGGAAACCCCGCGGGGCCTTGAAAGTTTTCTGAAGGAGTCTCCAGAAAAATGACTGCCTCAACTGTTATTTTTAGAAAAAGTTCGTCCAAAGTGACAGTGTCTAAACCTGCAGATAAAACCCTGACGTTCCCCTGACTAATTGAAGTAAAAGTAGTGTAGGATGCAGCTGAAAGCCAGGTACCAATCTAGGCTGTGATGGTCCTGTCCTGCCCCCTCTGCAAAGGTGCCATCATCTTAGAAAGCAGGTGAAGTTGGAGCTCACTGCCTGTAGCCACAAGTCAGGCTTCCATAACAAGTGTCCTGCATGTCCTGGCATCTACAGCAGTGTGGCTCTGATAATACAGCTATTGTAATTCGGCTGGGACCCCTACTCCTTCACTGCACCAGTAACTTTCCACTGCATCTCTGCTGTGTTTGCCAGGAAAAGAGGCATGCGGATACAAGGATGTTACTTTAAGTGTTTCACCGTGCTCACAAGTGAATCTGTTTACCTTAGTGATCAGATGTAGATTTTGGGTTTGAGGTCAAGGTGTGTCTGTTTATCCAGAAGAGCATCGGTGGCGTGACACATGCTGCTGGCTGCAGGTGCACAGTCTTGCACGGTTTCTTGATGAAGACTTTAAATCCCTCGAACCACTGTTTTGTAGTGGACCATGACCTCTGACCTCGCAGGACTCAGGCAGAATTTATCTGCAGGGATCAATAATATATCCAATTATTTATGATGCTTACTGCAGTTTCTGTTTCCCTTCACAGTGAATGTAACGGTGCTGGTATGGTTTGATTTGGGATGGCTTCGGTTTGATTTATAACTGTAGATCCAGGGTAATATCTCAGTCTGAGTTATTGCTGTTGAGTACATAATTTGGCTGCTAAAGCAAGCAGCCTGGTCTCTTAGAGTTAATTAGAATGAACTTTCTCTCATTTGGTTTTTATATACTCCTGGGTAAGTTGTTCCATAACTCAAACTGAAGATAAGGCCACCTTAACTCTCTCTATGTGCTTCTTGTTAAGACTGTAATATGTCTGCAATGACTTAAAAATAGTTACATTGCTGCTATGTTGCAATGGTAACATTGCTGAGTAACACAATGTAGTAATTGTGTAAAACAATTTAATAGTTGCGTTGATGCAAGAAGTATTTTGAAACTTTATCCTTCACCCTAGCTGATAGGACTGCAGAGAGAAATACATTTCTAGAGACATGCACCTTGATTTGAAAATTCAGTGTTTGTAAGCATAAAGGACTGTCTGCAAGCTGCTGCAGACAAGTAAAACACTAAGGCCAGCTTGTCAGCTTATCCATACTGGAAAAAACTGCTTAAAAATCCATTGCCAGTATTGGCCCTGATATAATATTTGTACGTGATAGATCGAACTATTGATTCCATTTCTAATTACAAATGCATACATTTTCATTTATTGAAGCTATGATTTATGACTTTTCTTTTAATTTGATTTTCTAAGTTTGTGTGCATAAAAAAGTGAAGCGACAGGACAGTAATGTTGCATCTTGTCAGCATCATACAGAAAAACTTTACCTACTATAGATCATCAAGATAGAAGACGTTTAGCCAGATTTTCAAGCAGTAATCAAACACCTCATGTGGACAGTTGAGTGTCATGAAATTGCACCAGAATATAGTGGGAGTAATAGCTGCCTGAATGACCATTATTTCCAACTGGATTTTGGAATATTTTAAAATTGAGCATCTTTCTATCATCCAGATATTGAGCCCTACCATAAAAAAACACAATTTAACCTGATAAATGACATGTTTACAATATAAGCCAAAAAAATGATTCCATATTGTGTCTGTCAGACCTTCATATATCCATACTTACAACAGGTGGCCTTGATGTCACCAGTCTAAACAAAGCAGTGAATTTCACACGACAGATCAAGTTATATGGCTGTGAGATTGTCTTTCTGATGAATGGCTGTGAGATGGACAGCAATGATCAGTGATGGTAACTGATATCTGATTTGAATGTGGAAAAGACAAAAAAGAACTCCTGACATTTGGTGGTTTAGCCAGAATTGTTCTGTGGAGTTGATTTGAGTTTCCCCTCAAATTCCTATATTTTGTTCTGCAAGAATGGTGTAAGCCAGTTGAATCTCTCACTGGAGATTGGCTGTCCTCTTGTACAAAGTTGATGTGCTTGGTGGTAGTTTGCTAACTTGGTTTTAAAATGCCACTCATGAGTTGGAAAATGTAAACCAATTTGTCATCCTATGCACCACAACTGATATTGTAGTGGTATTCCACTGAAGGCCACTGCTACGGATCTAAATAATTAAATATTAATATAGATTCTATATTAAAATGTTGCTCAATGCGGCTGCTGCAGTCACAAGAGCGAACACATGAATTATGCATCAGCTATTGCTGTCACCCTCACACCACCTTTTTAGCTTACAAAGAGCAAACTGTTTAGCTTTTCACTTCACTTGACTCTGTTGTGCTCTTATCCCCGTGCTTGAGTGAAAATAGCGGTTTCACGATTTCTTTTCAAGCATTTTTCTGAATGTTCAATTTGATCACCCCATGTGCTTCCAGGTTGACGACCTGAGCTGCTGCTCTGGCATCACATACTTTCCAGCTTCATGGCTCCATATCTGTTTCCCTATTTTGCTTAATCACGCGTCTGTTCCGCAACATTTCTTTTGCCTGTTTTTATGAGAGCTTAAGCACACTCCCCACTCTTCAGTTTTATATTTTAATCACCACAGTGCATCAGGCAGGCTTCCATCTAGAAAGGGCAGCCCTCTGCCAGGCTTACCACCTAATCCATCAGCAGCCTGTCCGTCAGCTCTCCATGCTGCACACTCCCCGGTCTTGGTCACCACGTGCCGCTCCGCTCCTTGTCACTCTCCTCCGCTGTGCGCTGTGGAAACATCCGACATCACTGCCAGCCTGTCCCTAAATGCGTTGCCAAAATAACGTTATCTGGGACACTTGGGATACAGGTGACGTCAGTCGCTATCAGCCTGTTTAATGTGTGATCCTGCAGTGACAGACAGGCACCTTTAGACGCTGATCTCTTCAATACAAATTTCCATGATGGCGGGGAGGTGCTTAATACCTGCCTCCACTGTCTAGATGGAAAAGCTGATTGACAGAAGCCACACAAGTTAAGGCTAGACAGATGGCAACGAGCATCCTGTTTGCCATCTTAGCTTGCGTGCTTATCTGCAGACCGGCTAAATCCCTTCTCACGATTGACACTAAAGGTGGAGATAGGCAGGTAGGTCTGTTCTGTGAGCATGAATCAGTCAACTTACCACCTTCTTTTTTTTTTTTTTTTTTTTTGGGCAGCTGACTCACATGATGGGTGTTCTTCAGCGCTGATTGCCTACAAACTAGCTTAGAGAGACACAAAGTAGCCTGCTTTTTCTTAAAGCAATATCTCTTTACCTTTGTGTCATACTCAAGGTTTTTTTTTTTTTTTTTACACGTAAGTGAAGCAGGATGTTTCCCCTGTAGCATTTTAATAACACCAGCTAAGCCTCAGTCTGTCTGAATAGTGGTAACAGCATGGGGAGGGAGACTGGAGGGGGATAGACTGCTCCCTTCTGAAGGGATCGAGAGCTGCCCATGTGCCTGGCGGATCACTGGCTGATAATAATGTGGCACAAAAGCCCAACACGCCACTAAATCCCCTGTCTGGGGCCGCTGGTGTGTCATATCAAGTCCCCTCGGGCCTCTCTATGTTCCGGCATGGGACATCTCCTCTCTTCTATTTTCCACTTCATGTCCTGCCTCCATCGCTAACCTGCAGCCAGTCTAATATGTGTTTCTTCTGATACTCAATTTCCCTCACCTCAATGATTCTTCTCTGTCTGCAAGGCAAAGTGGATGTGGCAGGTCACTGTGAGGAAGGGGAGATGTGAAAACGCTTGTGTGCACATGTTCACACAGAGACGGATGCACAGACAAAGCGCCCACCGTTCATCTGATGCAGAGACACAGAACCTATTCCAGTGTTTGCTCATGCTTATCGTTATATCGACCTCAGACAAGGAGGACCCATGAGCTGATGAGTGAGACCTTTGCAGAGAGGATGCGTTTGACAAGAAATTGCACTGGCCTTTAGGGCTTCAACCGATAGTTATTTTCATCATAGTTTAATCTGTATTATCATGAATAATTTAGTCTATAAAATGTCAAATATATGTGGAAAATCTGAAAGCCTAAGGTGGCTCGTCCAACCAGCAGTCTGAAAACCAAAGATATTCCATTTGGGATAATAATAACCCAGAAAAATAGCTCCTAAAAAGCTGGACCCTGAGAATAATTGTCTACTTGGCTTGATTGAATACACGTAATAATAATTCAATATCAGAAATTTTTTCCAAAAAAACGTCTGCTCTTACAGCATTTATTGCTGTATTTGATAAATGATCATCCAAGCTTTTGTGTCAAGCCTAAAAAATATTAAAATGCTGCATCCCTGTGGGCTTTTTGCTAAGAAAATTACCAATATTTTGCATTTATGCAGTGCAGTGATCTAGTGGCCTTTCCTCTTAGTATAAAAAAAATAAAGAAAGAATGTATGAATAAGATGGCCTTTTTCAGATGGAGAAAACTCAGATTAGGAGTACCTGCGTTGACTCTTTTTCACGACCGGGTCTAAACAGGGCATCATTGCCTTGACCAAAATATAAAAGAATATTTAAAGCTTGTGAAAAGAAACATTACATGCTATGTAATGTCTTAATGTTCTGAACGTTCGACTGAGTCCCTGAACTGTCCACCTTCTGGAATTGATTAGATTCTCTGATCTACAGGTTAGCTGAGGATCCTCAGCAGTGTTGCACAGATCGAATCTTATTTATG